AGGGGAAGGGAGCGCGGCTCCGGGCCGGGCGGAGGGCAGTGGGGCACCGCGGCTCCGGGCCGGCCCGTGGGAGGGAGGGGGCCCGGCGGCGGCGGCGGCGGCGGCGGCTGCGGCCGCTCTAACAGGTGGGATCCCGCTGAGAGGAGGAGGCGGCCGGAGGGGGCGGAGGAGGCAGGGACGGGCGGGCGGGCGGGCGGAGGGAGGGAGGGGGACGAGCCGGAGCCGCCTGTGATCCTGTGACAGGAGCGGCTGCTGCTGCTGTTGGCGCCGCCGGTGCCTCCCTCCGCCCGGCTCCCGGGTCGCCGTCCGAGCCCCGGAGCTCCCCCGCCGCGGCCCCTCCCGGGCATCGCCCCCGCAGTCCGTCCCGGGCCGCGCAGCGCCGGGGCTCGACGCGCCTCCCCGGCTCCGCCGCACAGCGCGCAGCGCACAGCGCCCGCCGCACACCGCACGCCGCGCCGGGACAGGGCGCGGGGCCGCCGCCGCCGCCGCCGCCGCCGCCGCCACCGGGCGATGCCGAAACCGCCGCTGCTGCTGCGGGGGAGCCGCCCCGGGGACAGCGAGCTGGGGCGGCAGTTCCGGGACTGGTGCCTGCGCACCTATGGGGACTCGGCCAAAACCAAGACGGTGACCCGGAGCAAGTACCAGCGCATCGCCGAGGTGCTGCAGGGGGGATCCGGCTCCGGCAGCGGCTCCGGCGGGGGGGAGAAAGGCAAGTTCCAGTTCTGGGTCCGGTCCAAGGGCTTCCGCCTGGGAAACGGCACCAGGGAGGCGACGAAGATGGGTCAAGTGGTGGTTTATGTGCCGGTGAAAACGGGAACGGTTAGTGCGCTCCGTGCCCGGGGGTCTGTGTCTGTCTGTCTGCCTGTCCGTGTCTGTCTGTCCTCCCCGGGGGTGCGGGTGGGGAAGGGAGGGGGTGGGAGACACACCGGGCGGGCACCCCCGGGGCCCCCGCCCGCGCCGCGCCGCGCCGGCCCCGTCCCGTCAGCACCGGGCGGCCCAGCCCCGCCGCGCCGCCGGGAGCGCGCATGCCCCATGCGGGGCGCGACGCGGGGCCCGGCCGCTCCCGCAGCCCCCGGGGCTCCGGGCGGCGGCCCCGGGGCAACCGCCGCGCTCCCTCGCCCCTACCCCGCCGGGATGCGGATGGCGAGCGGCGCCCGCCCGGAGCCTCGCACCCCCGCCCCCGTCCCATCCGGCGCAGCCTCCATCCCCGAGCGGGCGGCGGCAGCGGCGGGAGGGGACGGGAGGGGATCGGAAGGAGGAAAGGAGGGGGGAGGGTGGCGGTGCCCCGCGCCCGCCGCCGCCGTGCACCTGCCCCCGTGGGGGGGCGGGGGGGACCGCGCCGCCGCCGCCCGCTGCGGGCTCCTGCCGCCCCCCCGCCCCCCACCCCCCCCTCGCCCCGTCCGATCACGTTCGCCCTGCATTTCCCATCCGCCCCACGGCCGGAGACAGGTTTGCAGTCAAGGGCAGAGCGGCGGCGGGGAGGGGGCGCCGGCAACCTTCCCCCCCCCCCCCCCCCCCCCCACTCCTCGTCCGCCTCTGCCGCGCCCTGCCCGCCCCGCCGCCGCGGAGCGAAGCGATCCCGGCCCGCTGCGGCTCGCCCGGCCCCGCCGTCCCGCGGCGTTGCCCGCCCCGCGCGGCCGCTGCGGCCGTTGCCCCGGGGGGTGCGGGAGCGGCAGAGCCCGGATTAGGGCTGCCTCCCCCCTCCCCGCGCCCGCCCGTCCCGGGAAACTCCCCCGCCGGAGCCTCATTGTTCGGCGCCCCGCCGGGCTCGGGGCGCACCGGGCCGCCCTCTGCCCCCCGCCCCGCCGCGCCCGGGGCTGCCCCGCCGCCGCCCCATTGTTCCCGTCCCGAGCGCTCCCCTCGGCTCCCCGGCGCGGAGAGAAACGCGCAACTTTCGCGGCCCCCCGGCCCCGCGCGTACGGGGAGCGCCCCGGCCCCGCCGCCCCCGCTGGGACCGGCCCGCAGCTACGGCCGGGCTGCTCCGGGCCGCCGGGCACAGAAGGGCTCCGGGAGAGATTTTTTTTTTTTTTTTTTTTTTTTCCTGTCCCTCCCCTCCTCTCCCCGCTGCTGCTGCTGCTGCTGCTGCCGCTGCTCTAAAGGGTGCAGTGTTTTCTGTGCACACACAGACTCCAGCATTGATGTGGCTGGAGGATGCTTCCATTGAGGGCAGCCCATCTGTGGCAAATGCTTCTAAACGCACTATTTACCTCCCATCTGGTCTGCCTTATTATTGGGGGGAGGGGGAAGGGTCATTATTTCTCCTTTTCCCTTCGTGGTGCTCAGAGGCTCCTTTCTTTCTCCCCTTGCAGCCCCCCTCCCCCATTCCATGCCCCCAAAAAATTCTTGGCGATTTTTTTTTTTTTTTTTTTTTTTTGAGCCGTCCTCTCAGCCCTCCTCCGCCGAGCACCGCCGAGAGCCGAACCCCATCCGCACATCCCGTGCTTCCCCAGGGTTCCCCCCACCTCTCCGTCCGCTCCATCCCACACCATCCAAATGCTGCAGAGTCATGGCACCCCAGAGGCCGCGCCGGGCTCCCCCAGCCCCACCACCGGCCAGACATCCCCTCCCCTTTGTCCGTGGCGGAGTCCTTAGGGTCAGGAGCTCGACCAGCCCGCTGCCAGCCTGCTTATTCCCAAAGGGTTCCCGCACAGATGAAGTTTCAGCGAGGAGCGCGTCCAGGCCCCCCGCATCTCCCCCGCCACAGTCCCTGCAGGCTACAGATAGGAGCTACACCCAGGCTCCGTACAGCCAGCCAACAAAAAGCAGGCATGCCCGGGGGGGACGGCTGGATTTATTTCCAAAAGGCGATATCCGTCTTTCCCGCAGCCTGCGTGCTGTACCTGCCCCGAGCTGGGACCGGCAGCGCCGTGCGGAGCCGCTCACGGGCTGCAGGGAGGAGCTGTCAGCGCTCCCCCGAAATCCTCCAGCACTGGGGATGGGGTTGGTTGCTGCCTGTCTCCTCTCCTCTCCTCTCCTCTCCTCTCCTCTCCTCTCCTCTCCTCTCCTCTCCTCTCCTCTCCTCTCCCCCACACCCCCAGTGCTGCTCTCTGCAGGGAATCCCGCGCCGGTTTCGGACGGATGCGCTTGCTGGGTTTTGGTTTTGCCTGGAGTGGCTCTCCAATGGAGAGATAACTTAACGGGGATTTTCTTCGGCTGCTGATAATTCGGTGCTCTCCTGGTCTTCAGTGCTTTGGGCTGGTGTTGTGGGTGGATTTCATTTCTTTCATGCATGCAGTCAAATAATTTGAGCTTTTTGCTCGACAGCAAAGCGCGTTCTCTGCTTTAGTGTCGTTCTGCTGCTTTCCCCAAATACTCCTGGGCTGGTGTGCTGCGTGCTTTCTCCTGGCCGTGCAGCAACCTGATACCACCCGTCCTGTGCCTGTTCTCCTGCGTACTGCGGGTCCGTCCCACGGTGGAAGGGCTGAGCAGAAATACCCTGGCTGGGGGCAGTGTGGGTGGGGGCACCTTTGGGCTGCTCCAGGAGCTCCGAGGTGCCACAGCCAGAGCAGGAGGAGCTGGAGGAGAGGTGCTGAGGAGCACAGTGTGCAGCAGTGGGGATAAGGGCAGGCCCCCAACAGGGCTGGGGCCACTCCTTTGTGGGGGGGGGGGGGGGGGGGGGGGGGGGGGCGCGGAGGGGAGGGGGGGGGCGGGTGGGGGGGGGGGGGGCACCCCGGGGGGGGGGGGGGCGGCAGGTGGGGGGGGGGGGGGGGGGGGGGGAGAGGGAAGCAAAAAAAAAAAAAGCAAGCAAAAATAATAAGCCCCGCAGCAACCAGGTAGAGCGGCGCCTTTTGGTTTATGCATCTTGAGCTGGCTTGTGTATTTTCAGCGCATCTGTAGCGAAAACATAATTACCGCGTGGTTATTATTTTCTCTCCCGAGGAACTTTCCCTTGCCCTCCTCCAGGCCTCTCATCAGAACAGGCCTAATCAGATTTGGGTGGCTTGAGAGCTGTGACTGTGCGCTGAGAAGGGGGCATCTGCCTTAGGTGGTGGCCGGAGCAGATGGTGGTCTTCTCAAAGAATGCACTGGGAATAGGAGCAGCAGTGCGGACGGATGTCTGGCACAGAGGCTGTTCGGATTTCTTTTTCCCAGATGAACGTCCCAAAGATGCTGGGCGTTTAACACACACAATTAAAAAAGCCCCGCACGGCTGAGGTGCGGCGGTGTGGGACGTGGCTGTCTGACAGCTCAGCTCGGGCTGGGCGCTGCCTGCAGGTCCGGGCACTGAGGCTGTGCTGGGGAGGGCAGCTTTGTGTGGTGTGTGCTGCTGCGGCGTGAACAATGGCTGTCCCAAAGTGCCCAAGGCTGCCGTTGCCTCGCTGCGTGGCGAGCGCTGAGGTGCAGTGCACCCCGTTATCTGCCTGCCCCGTGCTCGGTGGGGGCTCCCCTCATCCCAGCTTTGCTGAGGACTGGGAGAATTTGCTCCTGACAATGTGCTAAAATGCAGTTCCTTATAATCTCTTGTCCCTCCTGTCCAAAGCATTTAGCATCATTCAGGCAGTGCGACAAGGGGCAGGCAGCCCTTCAGCAGCACTGGAGCTCGGTGTGCAGCAGGGCAGGGCCAGCCCCAGACCCCAGCCCGGCTGCAGGAGGGGTCGTGCCCTCTCTCCATCAATGCTGCCCTTCTCGTGCCGTGTGCTGGCATGGCAGCCCATGGTGCAGGCTGGGTGTGAGCGGGGCTGTGGGGAGAGGCACAAGGAAGCCTCCCACCAGGCTGACCCATGGGGTGCTGTGCAGAGCTTGGGGATTGGGTAGGCTCTGCAGCACTGCCTACAATTTGATGTTGCTTTCTTGCTCGCTGTCTGTCCCCTGCAGAGCTGGCACGAGGTTCTGGAGTTCTTTTAGGCATTAATAAAAGGCTGATGACATTTGTGAGGGTGGGTTGCTATTGTTGTACCAGCGCGGTTCACCTGTGCTGGCTCCCCCAGAACCAGATGTTGGAAATCATTTCACAATTGCACCCAGTGAAATCCATCCATGGAGAGGTAGTGTAGCAGAGAGGAGCGCTGTAGAGAACAGAATGAGACCAAAAAGCAAAATGGATGCAGGCCTTTCACTGGCAGTGGGAAGAGCATCACATGGGACACCGGCTCACCCACCACACAGCACATCCCCAAGTACATTTTAGTTCCCAGAGACAGGGATGCTGTGCTGCTGGAGCGTGCGAAAGCCGTGATGCTGAAAGCTGCAGTGCTCGGCCTCGGGACAGCACAGCACAGTGGCAGAAAGCTCGAGCTGAGAAGCTGGGCATGCTATAAAGATGCTGCTCCAGCAGTTAATAGAGACTACGTTTTTCCTGGTGCAAGTACACTTCAGTGCTCATATTCAGTGCCCCCCAAAGCTTCGCAGCTATGACTTCCAAGAACATGAGCCAACAGAAGGTTTTCACTATTGTGAATAACCACTTAGACCTTCTGTGGACTTCACATGATAAAAAAAAAAAAAAAAAAAAATTAAGGCTGTTCAGAAGAGCCTCAGACAAGGCAAATGGGCCTAAGGGCATTATCTGCGAAATAGTCTCTTACTTCTCTGGCACAGCCTTACTTAGAGCACGCAGAGCCTTCACCTGCTGTGACAGAGCCCCCCCCGTGCAGGGCAGCACTGGCTTTCCAGGGAGCTGTGCCGATGGCAGGCTGACATTCAGATGTACCCTTAGGAGAGCAGCACAGTGCTGCTGGCTGTGTGGTCCTGTAACCAAACCCAGAGAGTCTCCTGCTGTAGTATTGCTTCCATCTTCAGCCCCATGTTTGCACGGTGCTGGCAGCAGATTTTACCTCCAGTCTGCTGGTGCTGAGGGTGATGCTGCTGACAGTCCTGCA